GAACCCTCAAGGCTCACCGAAAGCAGTTGAGGGGGTGCGGCCTCCAACCCCGGCCCTCAACGAAGGTTCCGGGGGTTGTGGTTTAGGGTTTAGGGTTTATAGGGTTTATAGGGTTCGTAGGGTTTATCGGGTTTATCGGGTTTGTAGGGTCTATAGGGTTTATAGGGTTTATAGGGTTTAGCGATCCTTGAGGTAAGTAGTATAAGGCCCATATCAGGCGTATACTCCGGGGAACCTATTTAGGGGTCCAACCTTAGCGGTACGAGTCTGAATCCCTTGAAAGGGTACCCCAAAAAAAGGAGTGGTCCGGGTATAATGCCGCCGGGGCGCTCAAGTACGAAGCCCTCGGCCCGGATACTGCTATCTGGGCACATGGAACCTAAAACGGGTTTAGCGTCTAGGCCCCAGGGTTTAGGATCGGGTTTAGGGTACCGCTGCACTGCTAAGCCTGATTGCGCAAGCGCGCTGGATTTGCGTCTGCAAGCTTCGCTCGTGGTAAAGGATGGGCCGTATACTTCCAGGGACCAAAGAATTCAGTTCGGTTACTACCTTTGACTTCTTGATCATGTATTTCATATATATCTTCACTATTGTTATCATTTCGACTTGGTTTGAACCTTCTATCTTTACAAGCCCCTAAGGACCAAATAAGAAGGTCCCTGGACCCTGGAAGTATAGGGTGGATGTTGCAGTCATTGACTCACGCAGCTTAGGCGGATTTGGGGGTCTAGGGGTCCTTCTTGAATACGCGTATTCCTTCAAACCCTAAACCCTAAACCCTAACCCTAAACCCTAAACCCTAAACCCTAAACCCTAAACCCTAAACCCTAAATCCTCAACCTAAACCCTACACCCTAAACCCTTCCTTCTGCTTTGCAGCAGGCTTGCGAAATCTGACTTAAACCCAGCCTCAACCGTCAATTGAACCCTACTGGGCTGGGCCCGCTGTGCCCTCAGTAGGGTTTCGGGTTTTCGGGTTTAGGGTTTATGCTGCAGGGTTTCGGGTTTAGGGTTGAGGGCTTAGGGTCTAGCGTCAACCCCCAGCCGAGTCAGTCAGCGCTGCAGGCGTCGGCGTTGGCGCAGCGGCCTCTGTGCTGACTGAAGGGTGTTTTAGGACTTTGTATTGTATGAGCCCCTCATTGACCCCGTCTATACCCCCTCTGGCCTGTATACCCTATAACTACCAAGGGCCCACGCTTCAGAACCCTTTCAAGAAGGTAAGGGACCATATTCAGGGACCAGGGAACTACCCCTACGTCAGCATCAGCAAAGCGCAACTGCGAACTCCCCCGGTTTCAATACCAGGATGGACTATTATACCCTATAATCCCTTAAAAGGCCCTTTATTGGGCTTATTCTGGGGATGTTAAGGTGAAGGGATTATACCCTAAACCCCCTTAAACCCTAAACCCAAAAAGGTTAAAGGTTACCTACTCTACTCCTAGGTTTCTGAGGCTCGTGCCTCGCCAGCTGCACGCTGCTTCAGCTGGGTCTGGCATGTCTCTTTCCAGCCTTGGGAGGGAGGGGGCGTTTAGGGTTTAGGGTTTAGGGTTTAGGGTTTAGGGTTTAGGGAGAAACTGACCAAGGATCGCAACTTGGGCTTTGGGTTTCTAAGGGGTTTGGAGTAATTGAGGGGGGGGGTTAGGAGTTATTGGGTGGTTCGTGCTGATGCAGGTTCCTGTCAGGATCTGTCAAGTTACCAGGTGTTGTGACGTCAAAACCCTGTGTCTAGGCTTCTTGAAGGCTTTGGGTTTTGGTTTTGAACCCGATAATCCTCTTGGTCGCCCAGTACCTACTCCAGAAAAAGGGGAGCCTCTTTTGGGGGTTGGCTGCTTTCTGAGGGGAACCTTGAACCAAACAAAGGGCAAAAGGGTACAACTGGGGTACCAAGTACATATATTTGAGGGTTTGGGGTTTAAGGGTTTAGGTTTTTGGGGTGTGGGGTTTAGGGGCTGAGGGGTTTGGGGTTTCTAGGGCCTTCGGGTTTAGAGTTTTTTTTGTTTTTTGTTTTTTTTTTTTTTGAGGGGGGGGTACCCCTAAACCCTGAACTCTAAAGCCTGCATCCTAAACCCTAAACCCTAAACTCAACCAAGAGCGGTTTGAGGGGTTCACGGTTTAGGGGCTTCAGGGTTTAAGGTTTAGGGTTTTAGGGGTTTACCCTAAACCCTGAGCCCTAAACCCTAAACTAACCCTAAGCCCTAAGCCCTAAATCCTAGACCCTATTTTAGGGTTTAGGTTTAGGGTTTAGGGTTTAGGGTTTAGGGTTTAGAGTTTTAAACCCTAAACCCCAAACCCTCAACCCTAAACCCTAAACCCTAAACCAAGAGGCTCTCCATCAGCTCCTTGGCCAGCGCAGCCACCTCGGAGTCGGGATGGCCTGAAGCTTACGGTTGCTTAGCAGGGAATGGGGGAGCTAGGGCCCTAGATATACCCTTTTAAGGGATCATATAGGGTACCCCATATCCCCGTATAGGATCCCTTAAAGGGATCATACAGGGCACCCTATATCCCCGTAAATAATCCCTTAAAGGGATTATATAGGGTACCCTATATCCCCCTATGTAATCTTTTAAAGGGATTCTGTAGGGTACCCTACATCCCCCTAGATATACCTTTTAAGGGAATGTATAGGGTACCCCTACCAACCAACAGCAAGGAAGAAGGGTGCTGAGGTGCTCAGGTGCGAGCTTTTTCGGGGATCTTGGGGGTGGTTTAGGGTTTGGGGTTTAGGGTTTAGGGTTTAGGGTTTGGGGTTTAGGGTTTGGGGTTTAGGGTTTGGGGTTTAGGGTTAGGTTTTGGGGTTTCGGGTTTCGGGTTTTGGGTTTAGGGCCTAGGGTTTGGGGTTTAGATAAGGGTGAGGCTCGGGTTCCTTAGGGTTTGTAGGGTATAGGAGGATATCTTCCGTCGCCCCATATATTGCTGTTCCTGCTCGGATCTACACATCTTCAACGCTCCGCCAGGATGAAAGATGCCGGTGCCCACTGTTTGCTCAAGAACCACACAAAAATGAAGAATACTGTAATCCAAAAAAAGAAAATGTTTCCCTATGTTGCCCTTATACGAAAGAACACGTACAATATATGTATACATATAATATCATATTACAATGATATTAGTACTAATAATAGTACTAATATTGGTACTAATATATTTTGCTCTCTTTTTGGGAGAGGGCCCTGAAGCAAATAGTAGCTGCACCTTGCTGTTCCGTCGAGCACACACCGAGCCCGACGCGTCTCAGGCCGTTGACCACCCGGCCAAGCTGCCAAAAGCGAGTTTAGAGAGGCGGATGTGGTACTTATTTACCAATTACAACTGCTCAGGGTTTAGGGTTCAGGGTTTAGGGTTAGGGTTTAGGATAACTGTACTTATAAACCACTTATAAGCCCTTAAGTGCCCTCATATGGCTACCAATGGGTTATGAGTGAAGTAATTATTGGGTTAATAAGTACCCTGAACCTCCAAGCAGAGGGGATGTGGTGGGCTTTCGAGAATCAGGAGCGCCATTTTTTGGGGGAGGGGGGTGAGTCCAGCATTGAGTATGGGAAGATGCCCCTAAACCCTAAACCCCGTGTAGAAGCACGGCTGAAGTTTCGAGGATGACGTTGAAGGAGGATTTTGTCGAGAATCTCCAAAGGGGGGTTTCCTTGGCCATACGTATGAGACCCATGGCCTTGCGAAACGTCTCGAGTACAGCCGGCCAGAGACCCAAAGAACCCAAAGAACCCTAAACCCTAAACCCTAAACCCTAAACCCTAAACCCTAAACCCTAAACCCTAAACCCTAAACCCCAAACCCTAAACGCTTCGTAGACTAGGATGAAGGGAATCGCCAGCGGTTGACATGGTCTAGCATGTCTAGCAGACTCACCGGAGCTGGGCACCCTTTCGAGGATTGCGCCCCCTCCCCCCCCTTCCCCGAGAGACAAGGTCCCCAGACTTGTGGAGGTTGTTCAAACTACAACTAGGATGGCCCTTAGAACCCTAAAACGAAATATTCATGAATATGATCCTCTAAACCCTAAACCCTAAACCCTAAACCCTAAACCCTAAACCCTCAACCCTAAACCCCAAATAAGGGAAAAGACAAAATCTCCCGAGGGCCCGAGGGCCTACCTAGACAACCTCAAGCCCCTCAAGCCCAGGACATCCTCTCGAGTCCCAGATCCCTCAATCCTTGTTGCCCTAAAAACCCCTAAACCCTAACCCTAAACCCTAAACCCCAAACCCTAAACCCCAAACCCTAAACCCTAAAACCCCAAGCCCAGAAATCGCTCCGGGGCCTTTGTCTCTTGAAGATGCTGCTTCAACGACGCCCAGTCCTTCAACTTCCTGAGAGACCTCGGGCCACGACGCAGACGCTGCGTGCAACCACTCTGAGCATTAAGCTAGGGTGTAGGGTTTAGGGTTTAGGGTTTAGGGTTTAGGGTTTAGGGTTTAGGGTTTAGGCTCAAGGTTCTGGACCCACATCCAACCCAACACACGAATAGTCCTTCAATTCAGGTCCTTATAGGCGGTTCAGAGTTCAGACTTCAGGGTTGCGCAAATCAAGATCCCCTTCGCTCAGGAGCATATCGAAGTCTCTAGATGGACCTATCTGGGCCTTTCGTCTCGCGCTCCAAGATCAGTTGCCGAATGAATGTACGGTTCTGCTTGGGATGTTCCCCCTTATACTGACAGTCCGTAATAGGGAGTATAGTACCCCTGTTAGAATCCCTATCAAGGACTCTTAGTCTAAGGGTGAACATCCCAAGGTTCTACTGCATTGCGGGGCCATGTTGCTGTGAGGTTTCCTTGTTATGGGGAGGAGATGGGGTTTCTGTGCAACAAGGTGGCCTAGCACGCAGCCCCTGCGCTCTGCTGTGCGGAGGCTTTACTGTGGAGGCCTTCCTTGAACTACAGAATGAAGGAGGTATTCCTAATAATTAGTTCGGGTTTAGGGTTCAGAGTTTAGAGTCTCTGATGCGGAGGCTTCTGAATGGCCTATCTAATTCTGCTACATCATAGGTAGGTTGAGCTTGGCATAAGCGCGACGTCCGCAAGCTGAGCGAAACTCCCAACCTGAGCGCGAAGAAGACCTTAGAATCCTCGGAACCTAAGGCCGCTTTAGGGTTTAGGGTTTAGGGTTTAGGGTTTAGGGTTTAGGGTTTAGGCTACCCGTACTCGGTAACCCAGTCACCACTTCATAATTAGGATGTCCCTTCTGCGGGCGCGATTGCTTCATAACGGAATATTGAAGCCACCAAAGGCAAAAGGATGCCACTGGCCTACTACCAAGTACATATGTACATATATATATATATATATATAGATAGATATATATATATATATGTAAGTATCAAAAACTCTTTATTTGTTGATCTGTTGTATCCATATTCATTTTGTTTATCCCAAACCCAAAAACCCCAGTAAATGGACTGCACTTAGGCACCCGAAACTTTGACCCTGAAGTGCTGCGCCCGAAACCCTAAACCCTAAACCCTAAACTGCTGAGCCCCTGGCTTCATGAGCGGGAGAGCCTGGCCCACAGGAGGCTTGACGACCAGCTCGCCACCCTGGTGCGGATGCAGTGGGATCTCCGTCCTTTGGGGATGTTGCAACAAGGCTTGGCTGCACTTAGGGAGGTAGCTGTAAATTAAATTTCTAGCTGCCTTACTAAGAAACCTAAGAAACCCAAAAAGGCTAAAGGTCTAAAGTTATAGTACAGTACCACAAAGAAGGGTTTAGGGTTTGGGGTTTACTTAGTTGCTGAGTTCATAAGCCCCCCAAAAAAGTGTACACTTTTTAGTTTTGTAGAGATGATAGTATCCCAAAAAGTGTAAAGTGTACTCACTCAGCTACTCAGTTTCGGGCTTAGGGCGATCCCGAGCTGCAACTCCCCCAAGTACCCCATCATGAGGGCCTCAAAGGGTACCTGCGGTGCCCCTAGACCCGAAACACTAAGCCCTAAACCCTAAGCCCTAACCCGAAACCCTAAACCCTGAACCCTAAACCCTAAAACCTCGGTTTTTGGGGGGTTCAATCACGAAGCTGGCCTGAGTCATCCCGAAGGGTGCCAGGACACGGACGGCCCAGACCAAATCATCCCGCTCCTGGGGTTTCGACTCTTGCACTCGTTGAAGCCGGCAAGGATTCTGTTCGGGTCGGCTGCACAGCTCCCGTGGTTCAGGGTTTAGGGTTTGGGGTTGGGGGGGATCACTTTGAGCTCCCTTAACGAAAGCTTCGGGTGCATTGGGGGACCAGACAAGTTTTTTTAAGTTTCGATGAGTTCTACTGGTTACCATAAGGATAGGGGCACCAGGAACTCAGCATCAACCCCAGTCGCTGGTCGGAGCTCTGCGGGGTGTAAGTGCAAACCCTCGACCCCCAGCAAAACAAAAGAAAGACAAAACCCTCCATCGGTAGTTCTCTCAGTTGGTGTACCCTTTTTGTCGACTTTATCATACAGCACCCTGATAGAAGGGAGCCGAATCTGGAAAACAACCCGACCACAGTAGTGCTTAGGTAGCAAGGGGCAGGGATTCCTTACTTTGTAAGGGGAGCTTGCGCCGAGGTACCAAGTACATGTATTATTATTACTATTAATTACTATTACTATTATGATTATTATTCTTATTCTTATTCTTATTATTATTATTATTATTATTATTATTATTATTATTATTATATATATATATATATCCTTTTACCCCAGAACTGATGAGGCTCGGCCTGAGAAGCAAAAGCAAAGCAAAGCGACATGTAGGAAAACCCTAAACAAGCCCTAAATTATTTAAACCTTGTTTTTTTCCATCTGGGCTGGGTGGGGAATGCCAGAAAACGCGCCTGCTTGCACAGCCTGATGGGAACCCTAAACCCTAAACCCTAGACCCTAAACCCTAAACCCTAACCCTAGACCCTAGACCCCAAATCCTAAACTCTGAACCCTAAACCCGAAACCCAAGACCCTAGACCCTAGACCCTAAACCCTAAACCTCCCTGAAGTCCCAAGACCGAATCGCCGATGTCCAAAGTGGAAACATCGGAGAGCCGCTTTTTGGGGTTTGTACGGGGCAAATTAGGGTTCAAGTTTCCTAAACCCTAAATCCTAAACCCTAAACCCTAAACCATAAACCCTAAACCCTAAACCCTAAACCCTAGCCCTAAACCCTAGCCCTTATAAACCCTAAACCCTTCCAACTACACCCTGAACCCTCAACCCTTCGGAATTTACATCATTGTGGGCGTGGGGGTTAAAGGGCGGTCTTTTGGCCGGATCTGTCCTCGATAGAGACGTGTTCGGGATCCTGCAAGTGCGGAGAGGCGGGGTTTAGGGTTTAGGGCTAGGGTTTAGGGTTTAGGGTTTGGGGTTTAGGGTTTAGGGTTTAGGGTTTAGGGCTCACTGTCTAAGAGCGGGTTTGGGAGGCTCCCGCCTAGCTTATCGAAAGTCCACATTGCTTCGCCTGCTAATATGATAGGCAATACATGCAATGAAGTATTCCTACCACTTCACTGCTCAGTC